CCCACCGAGAGTTTCCAAGCAGTGACACGGCCACAAACACAAATGTTTGGGGTGAGAAATGAAATCCAACTGCTTGCCATTGATAAGATGCCCCAAAGGGCACAGAAACACATCCCCGCGCCTGCCAGAATCCTCAGGGATTCCATCCCTGGTTCCCGCTGGTTTGCAAACAGTTCTTCCGTGGCAGACACTGTCCCCACCCAGCTCAGAGCCCAAAACAGGCACCTGGTGCCAAAGGCAGGGGCCGAGGATCTCGCTGTCAGCTGAGAGACCCTCGGGTGGGAACCCCCGAGCAGCACCGAGCTGACAGCAGGACACTCACCTGTGCACAGGTGAGCACAGTTCTGAGAGATCCCACTGCCCTGCTCCACAGGGATGGGAAGGTTCATTTCTGTGAATTCCACTGTAAACCAAAAGTTGTATAAAATTCACCATTTTCTCATTATCTTTTTCATTTGCACTTCAACGCTCTTCCCTGCTTGTTCAACAAGAAAAGCTTTTCCCAGGACCAAACCCCATTGAGCTTAATGGGAAAACTGCCTGGAAAAAAAGCAAAGGGCAGCCTAGGAGTGAGCCCAGAGCTCAGGGCTGAGTCAGAAAAACAGGACTCGGGATGACCCAAGCGAAGAGAAAAAAGAAAAAAAAAATAAAATTGCTATTTACAGACATTTCTCTTGCAGCTGGTAACCCAAACCAGCACTAAAACACAAACCACGGTCTAAAAGGTCCATCTAATTCATAGATACAGTCACAAATTTTACACTGAAAAATCCTTCAGAATTACCCTGCCAAAGGCTGACACTGCCCCTGTGTCACCCTTTAGCTCCTTTTCCTCTCCTGTTTGTTCTCAGAACAAAGTAGCTCCTTGTATTTAAAAACGTCTGCTGCAGTCTTTCCAGAAATATAGGACAAGCTTCATTAATGATCAGGGAAAAGCTGGATTCTGCTGGAGTCACATTAATTTCATCAAACATTTCATTATAATAATTAACTTCATCTTGCAATCGTGTTACTGATGGTCTGGATTCATTAAAACCACTGCTGTGTTTCCTCTCCTTTTTTATTTCTTGTGTACCGAAAAAACTCGGATTTACTAAACCAGCAGAAGATTTACATTCATAAATCAATTATGGTCATTTATAGAAAAGCTCCAAACATGATCATTTCTCATTTCCCACCACAGAATAGGCAACTCTCTTAATTACCCGTTTAATTTAACACTAAATAGTTAACAGGATAACTCGGGCTTGGTAGTGCTCTCATGGATGACTGAAAATATCAATAAAAAAAAAATTTCTTGATTTTTATCAAAATTATTCTGGGCACGGGGCATCGAAGAGAGAAAAAATAAAAAGAAAATATATTAAAAAAATGAAGGTAAAAATAAGGCGGAGGAACCCTTTTCCAGTCTGGGTTGGTGCACGGATCTGCTGTGTGGCCGCTGCTGTGGCCGTGAGCTCGGGGCAGCAGAAAGCTGGCTCTGCCTGCAGCAGTTTGCAGCTAAACCCGAGCAATTGGGTCCAAACACCGAAATATCGGTGCTGCGGAACCACAGCCACACTCCGAGGCTGATCTCGCTCAGAGCCCGGCACCAGGTAACCGGAGCTGGGCATCCTTCCCTCTGAGGAAAAGCGTCCGGGAGCAGCCGGAGCCCCGGGGCGAGGCGGGGACGTTTCACCGTCCCCAGGGCAAGGGACGGGGACGGAACCGGCGAGGGAGAAAAGCCCGTCCCAGAACCACCTCCCTGCCGAGGACCCTCCGCAGGAACCCCCCTGTTCCTGCTGCCCGAGCTGCAGCCGGGACCTGTCCGAGCCCCGGCACAGCCACACGTTCGTGCTTTGGGGGGCACAGAGAGCACCGGAGAGGGGAGAAAAACAGCTGCATTTACCCAAAGGTCAAAACCCACCCGGGGCATCGGCTGCAGCAGAGGAGCTCCAAAATTCAAAACCAGCCGAAAAACGGCTCTTTACGTTCTCCTCTGACAAATAATGAACCCCAGCAGCCGGGCAGGGTTGGTACCTCCTGCCCTCCCACTGCCAGCCCCGTCCCTGTGCCCGGGAGGGGCGGACACAGGGAGAAGTTTGGCCTTGTGCACGCACAGCCAGGATGGGGCTGCACGTTCTGCTTTTGTTCCCGTGTTTTCCTCCTTTGGAATCGCCTCCCCTTTGTCTCAGCTGAGCCACATTGCTTTTTATTTCCTCTTTTTTAAGGCGCTGTGTTATGCACCTGGGAATCCCGAGAGGAGTCACCAAACACGTGTGTAAAACACACAGAAAACCCCTGTAACACACACACCCCTCACAGAGGTTATTAAACACAGGCCCGATTTTTTCCATCCCCTGTTACTCCTTTTATTCCCCAATATCTGCATCCCAAATAAAAGCTGCAGCTATCACCCTGGAAGCCAGCTCAGGCCATTATCTTTATTACAGAGATTCTGTTTAATATTACAGACTCCTGAACTGCTCAAGTATTTTCCTCATGAAGGCAGCAGTAGCAACAGGAAAAAATAAAACATTTTCCAGACATATTTAGTAAATCATATCATTTTTCTACCATTTTTTTTCAGTCCTCCTTCAGAATCACAATTATCTCAGTCAATCAAGGATATCTTCTATTCTTTTCAAATACCTATTCAGCATGAATAAATATAAAGAAAACGGGCTAACGTTATTCTACCTGTGAAAATTGGCTCCACAATTGAAAAATAGTTAATGAAATGTCTCAATTAATCTCTTTCTAACTAGAAATACATTTTAAATACATTATAATCTGTAACAGGGGGGATCATTCAACAGTCCAGATTCTGCTGTCAATTACTTCACTAGAAATTTTATTTGGAGTCTTTAAGAATTAAAATACTCTTGTATTGTGGGGGGTTATATTCAAAAGACACCTTGGTCACTCGGGAATTATGAATTCACTGAGTTTGATGAAAGCCCAGAGCAGCTGATAACATCCTCAAAAGTCCTGCACAGATCCAAATGTGCCTCCTGTTTGCTGACAGGTGACAGCAGCAGGACAGGATTTCTCATTTAAGTTGGGTCTGAAACAGTAACTTGCATTTGATTTGGACTCGACTGGGGGTTTGTGAAACTCTCAACGAGGATTGCTCATCCTGAATCCATTTTTGGGTTTAAGCTTCAGAGAACTTTGCAAACTTTGGCAGACCTCATCAAATTCCTATTAATTCCATGTAACACCCCTCACTCACACCCCCCCAGCACTGCTGTCACCTGCCTGGGAGGGTTCCACCTGCCCTCCTCCTCCTCAGCAGGCTCCCAAACCATCTCCTGCTCTCACTTTCCTCTTCAAGGCAGACACCAACAGAGTTTCCAGCCTGGCACTGTGCTCCCCACCCAGCCCTGCCCACAGTTCCCATGGCCATGACCCCCCAGCACTGCTTTCCACCCTTCTCAGTGTGTTCTGTCACCATCACCCGTGTTCACATCATCTGCTTCACCACCAGAGGAGTCAGGGGCTGCAAGATCTGAACTCTGGGGGTCCCAGGGACACCCCAGTGGAGCTGCTGAGCAGATCAGTGCCTTGGCTGGCTCCTTTCAGTGCCCTGGCCAAGCCCCCAGCCCCTGTGGAGGGGTGGGGTGGGCATGGCAGCCCCTGTGGAGGGGTGGGGTGGGCACAGCAGCCCCTGAGGGCCGTTACCTGCTCGTTGACGTGGCACACAGCCAGGTTCTGCTCATCACAGGAACAGGACACACGGATGTACTTCAGCCAGCTGCCAGCCCCAGCCTGGCCAGCATCCACACAGAACTTCTCATTGCCCAGCTCGTCAGCAATCTGCAGGAGAACGGGAGAGAGGCACAGGTCAGCTGGCACCAAACGGCAGCTCTGGGGACTGGAGAGGAGGGAAAACTGTTTGCAAGGCAGGACTCTAAACTAGAAACAGAAAAGAGAACACTGGATGATACACACAGCCCTCAGAGAGATGACAAGAGTAAAACCAGCTCTCAGCCGTAATCTGAAATTCCTCGTTGGCAGAACCTCTGAGGACACACAGCAGAGTGGTCCAGGAGGAACAGGATCAGGACCACAGCTGGAGACAAACACACAGCTCTGGTCTCCACACCAGTCCAAGGAACCAAAGCAGGTAATTCCTCCAAACTCTATTGATTTCAGTGACAAGGTCCTTAAACTGCTCCATCATCACCTTATCTATTTTATCCTTTCATGCAGGACCAGTTTTAATTACAAATGTTTCAATCCACTTTCAAAACAAGTCACTTTCCACAGCACTGGGAAATGGCATTTTAAAAAAATGCTTTAACAAATGATACTTTCATTTATCAAAGTACAGCATCAGAAATCCACTGACCACGTTAGTGGGGCTGAGTGTGAGACACAATTGGGCTTGTGTGCAAAACCAGACCCCTTCCAAACAAAAACCTCCAAATAAAAGTCCAGGTGTGTGGAAAAAAGAGTTAATTAAAGGTTTGTGATTTAAAGAAACACACTGGTTTACCAGGAAGAGACTTTCTCTCTCTTAAGTCAGTGAAGTTGAGTAACAGAAACAGAGGAGATGCTCAGCATTCCCCACCCATGTTTGGGTTGATCCAGTTGGCAACTCACATATAGCACATTTAAAAGATTACACAGGACACCCTGAAAACAAGGAAAAGGCCTTTGAGCCCAAGCATGGCAAAACCCTGTTCTGCTCCTAAGTGAGCCTCCCTGTTACAAAAACTCCTTTTTTCCTTAGATTTCCCTCTACCCTGACCAGACCCTGTGTCAGTGCAAATTACTTCAGTCATCAGAAGCTCTTAACATGCTTTTACTAGCAATTAATTCTCTCAGAATCTCATGGGATACGATAATATTTTCCCATCTATTTCAAGACAGAGCTAAAAAAAGAGAAAAGGTGGGAAAACAAAGGAAAGGAAAAATTAAACCTCAGTGATGACAGCAGCAAGGCTGGGCTGAGGAATCTCGGGGGGATGTTGCCAGCTGAGACTCTCGCTCCCAGCCCTGAACCCCCAGGACTGCAGGACCTGCCAGCATCCCCAGGAAAGCTCCCACCTCCCTGCACACATTCCCTGGTCCCTCACCTCCTGCACTAACCCTTTCCCACCATTACTCTTTGCCTTCCTCCTTCCTAATCGAACATGGCACTGAGAGTCACTGAAATCCTGCATTTCCTCCTCAAACGTGTGTTTGGGACAGAACTGGGGCAGGAAAACAACCTGTATGTGCTCAGTTCCTTCATCCCCTGCCTGGGAACACTCATGGTCACTGACTCTGCCCTGACCAGACCTTTTCTCAAACCCTGGTACTTTCTGGACCCCCTTGTTCACCTCCCTTGAGCTCTGCTGGGGACACCAAAGGCCTCAGATGGGGCAGTAATGGCACAGGAAGCCAATTTTAGGTTGTTTGAGCTTTGCAAGAAAAAAACAACAAAAAAGTGTTTGTAACATGGGTTGAAAGACTGTACTAATTCAAGCTAAAATAACCATAACTCCTGTTTTAGCTCAGGGAACTCCAGGAACAGAGGCTGACCAAAGCTATTAAGATTGAAGTGCTTCTCTTGGCCTTACTGATCCCAAATCAAGTGGACCAGCCAAACCATCCCCTCGAGGGGCAGGAGTGGGGACACACCTAATCAGAAAGTGATAACAACTTCCAGGGAATTCATCTGGAAAACAGAATGAGATGAATCATCGATGCTCAGCTGGTCTGAAGCCACTGAACAGTTTTTAAAGGTTTGAGTAAACAGCAGCCCACAAACCTCCCAATGCCATTAATCTATAAGGCAGCAACTGGTGATGTTCAGTCACCCTGGGAACACAATGTGGAAAACTGCAGGACTACCCAAAAAGGCTGTTTTATTTCACAGCTGTATCTTACAGACACCCTCTCTCATCTTCTAGAATTGTTTGATGAGGACACTCAGACTGTAGAACCACAGACAGGTTTGGGTGGGAAGGGACCTCCAGGATCATCTAGTTCCATGGGGAGACGGCTCAAGGGAAGCTCAGAATTTGGCTCAAATTCACTTTGCAGGGCCCTGCTCAGGCTCCAGGGCCAGCTCTGCCTCAGGAGGAGGTTCTGCCATAGCTCGAAATCACCTGAAACTGTGGTTTTATCTGCGTGGGGAAATAAAAGCCAAGCTGGGGGTGTGAAAGGTGACAGATCAAAACGAGAAAAAAAAAAAGGTTGCATGAAACCCTGAGAACTTCAGCTGCTGTTTTTCACACACACTCACTGTACCCCACAAACAGAACCCAGCACCACGGCCCAAGGCCTGGCAGTGGCACTGGAGGGGACTCTGCAAACAACCATCCCTCCTCCAGTGTGATGCCTCTGCTGGCATCAGGGAGGACCCTTTGAGAAGAAAACAAAGGGGGCAATCAACTGGTCTGAAAGTGCTGCAGGACCAGTCCTGGAGCAGAGGGTGCTCCTGGGTGAGCTCAGCCCTTGGTGGCCAACACCTCTAATTAAAGCTCGAGTTCACACGCTCATGCTCACGGCTGATGTTCTGGGCCAGGGTTATTTCACAGCACAAAGAACTCTGAGAAATCCAAAAGCCACCACCAATCACTATCTGCGGCATCTATTTTTTCCTCTGTCGAGTGTGCACACACAGAATAACAGCCTAAGTCTCTCTTCCTCCCACCTTAAAAAACTCCGGAAAAACAAGCTGAGACCTTTTACCACATCTTCTTCCAGTTTAGACCAGAAGGAAATCAGAAATTTCCTCTGGCGAAATTCTGCAAACCAACTGCTTGCAAGTTGTTGTCAGTAACTAAAAATAAAAAAAAAGAGATTTTCAGTTTGAAAATGCTCCTGGAAAGCTCCTGGAAAATTCATTTTTCGGTCTTTAGAAGAAGTAGGAGCAGCACCAAGAGGTAACTGATGCTCTGAAGAAGGACAGGTGGGCAGAAAAAAGGGAGGCAAAGAGTGTTGGCTGTGGGTGAACTGAAGGTCCCAGATGGAAGCACAGAGGGATTCACCCTGCAGTGAACTGCTGGAAACCTCAGCTGCACACAGCTACTGGAGTGGGGCTGCTCTCACCACAGCACTCCTCTCCAGCTCTGTTAAACCTGGCTGTTCACAGTTAAGACCAGAACTAATGTCATCCCTACCCAGGACTTAGCAGCTTTAATCATGAGCCCACCCATTCACAGATATCCCTGTTCCCTGGACAGGTAAAGGCTGACATCAGGTATTTACCACCAGCAGCAACAAAAGAGATGCCACAGGAAGGAAAAGCCAAGCAGAAGATCCCGTGTAATGAGCAGGACTGTGCCTTGGTGGAGCTGACAGGGAACAGTTGCAGTTGTTCTGTGCTCTGTGCTCGGGCTGGCTCTGCACCAGCCAGGCAGTGCAGAGCTCTCTCCAGTGGGTAATTTGGCTCAGACATTAAAAGAAGTTGTCAGAGCAAGAGGAGAGGGGAAAAAAGGTGTGGAGATATGGGAGAGGAGAAAAAAAACCAACATAAATTTATACTTAGAAACTGGCACTGGTTTTGCTGTTCTGTAACCAGTACATGCTGATACTCCAGCCAGTTTTGGGGCAATGCTCTTCACCCCCTTGATCCTCTCGGATCTGAGGCACAGCATCCCTGTCCCTTGGAGCTGGGCTCCCTGCAGAAACACAGTGCCCCTTTTACCTTGTCCCCATGTTAAACCACGGGTGGGCAGGGACAGCCACGTGCACTTGGGATCTGCTGGAAAAGCAAACTTTCATCTGGACTGTGGCCTGAGGGCTCAGAGAGTTAATTCCCATGGGAGCATTTCCTCTGCCTCATCTCCCCCATCACTCTTCCACTTGATCCTACCCACCCCACCATGGATTTCTCCCCGCTTTTTTTCTTTTTTTTACTCAATATGCCAAAACCTAAGTTCATCTTTTCTCCCTCTGCTTCAGATGGTGAGTTCAGTGTTTATTTATTAACCCACAGCACCTCCCAGGACTTTTGTCTGCAAATCCAGCAGTTCATCGAAGAACTCCCAATTCCCCCCCTCTTCCCTGCCAGTAACTGTGCCATGACTCTGTCTGGTGGAGTCATTCCCTGTGTTTCCACAGAACACACTCTCCTCCCTGCTCCAGAGTCCCCATCCTCCTCCTCTCCAGGCTCTCTGCTCCAAACAAATGCACCTCCATGTTCCTGGGATTACAGGGCTTTGACTGGCCCTCTGCAGGGACAGGGATTTGGGCTGCAGAGCCAGAACGCCGGCTGTGGCTGCGGTTCAGGCTCATCCCTCTCCAGCCAAAAGGAAATTGTTGTCATGTTCCAGGACTCACTTTGCAGCTTCATCTGCCGTCTGCTGCGCGGCGCTCGGGGTTTGGATCCGAAAGGCTCCACTGATCTCGCAGAGGCTCCGTTCCGTAATTTATTAACATCAGAAATGCTGAGTTATGGAGCAGAAGTTATGGAAAAATTCGCCTCGAACGTTTACAATTTTTTTTGCACATCATTTGAGGTTTCCTGCTCCCCTAATTTGTGGGCTCTCTGTTGGGTTGTTCCTTTCACGTTTCAGTGGGCAGCGTCCAAGGCCTGGCCCCGGCAGAGGTGTGCCGGGGGCCGCGGTGCCTGCGGATCTGTCGTCAGGTCGCTTAATGGATTCCTAGTGTGCATGAAGAAACGAAGCAACCAGGAGTTTGCCATCAGTGACCCAGCGTCCTGTTGCTATAACATCCCTCCCCAGAAGCCCAAAGTGTAATAAACCTTCTCATCCCGTGGTCGCAGGATCTGCCTCTGACAGCTTGGCCGATGTGCGCATTTTATTTGGCAGGAGTTGGAGATTTTTCCTCTTTTTTTCCTCCCCCCCTTTTTGCTTTAA